CTGAGCGGCAGTATGATGCACGGGCTGCTGCGGTGCTCATGGTTAGTGTGCCGGTGATATGCTCCTCAGGACCATATGGGGTCTGATCTCCTGTGAGCACCGTCCCATTCGACGGCTCTCCCTGTCATGCTTACATCACATATAGGTCAGAGTCTTCTCACAACAGCACATGAGGCAAACGTTTAAGATGGCCATGAAGTGGCTTTCGTTTTGGAAATGGTTTGAGTTTGGGGAATGGGGGCTGCTATACATTTACATGATATTGTGGTGATTTCCCTGACAGGGTTTGAATTAAGCCGGGAGTAGGCCTTAATATAGAATAGTTAGTCGTGGCTTAAAAAATGGCTTTCTGAAAGAAAGATTAAGTACAGATTACAAACACTTGGACTATGGAGTCCTGAACTGAAATAAACAAGATTAATTTAAAACTAACTGTATTAATCTGAATAAGTAAGACATATAATATATGCGCCCCCCCCCCCCCCTCCCCCCTCCCCCCTCCCCCCTCCCATTTGCCAAGTGTGCCAATAATTCTGACCACGCCTCTATGCATCCAAGTAATACATGTGTCTTCTTTGAAACACAATGTTAATCTGAAGTTAAAACCATGACAGAGAAAGCAGATTTCTGTTAAAGGGATACTCCACCCAAAAATGAAAATTCTGTCATCATTTACTCAGCCTCAAGTTGTTGCAAACCTGAATGAGTTTCTTTCTTCTGCTGAACACAAAGGAACATATTTTGAAGAACGATTGGAACCAAACAGTTGTTTGGCACCATTGACTTCCATAGTAGAAAAAAAAATACTATGGAAGTCAATGGTGCCAAAGTTCCAATCGTTCTTCAAAATATCTTGCTTTGTGTTCAGCAGAAGAAAGAAACTCATACAGGTTTGCAACAACTTGAGGCTGTGTAAATGATGACAGAATTTTCATTTTTGGGTGGAGTGTCCCTTTAATCTGGTTTAAAATGCCATTTTAGTCTAGGACTAGGCTTAATCTCAGTCCGGGAAACAGCCCCTTAAAGTTCAAACAAACACATTATTTTTCTCATACTGTACATTGCTGCAGCACCTCTTTTCACCCTCTGCCGGAAATGCTCTGTTTTAGTACCTGTCTCTTTAAAGCCTGCTTTTATGAAAAGCGCAGTCTGTTGTGATTGGTCAACCGCTTAGGGTGTATGACAGAAATGCAACATCCCTCAACATTGGTTTTCAGGTCCCAAAGCTTCATGAGCAGCTGCAAACAGTATTATATCTATGGTAACGGCATCTGTATTGAAAGTCCATGCAAGAGGTCTACTAGACAAAGCTAAATCACTTACCCAACTGTTGTTTAAGTGTGGCCAGTAGGTGGGCATTATGCAGATGTGTAACATGGTGATGTAGCTAAATCATGGAAATAATGACAGGACTACAAACAAAGCAAGGCGAGTGTTTTCTGTTGAAGGGATTAACTCCCTTTGCCGTGGACCTTGTGATTTTATAGATTGTTTACTTGCAAAAATAGCTATATTACACATTAAAGGAAATGTAAAATAAATAAAAACTTTCATTAATTAAACCACACATTATATTCCATACAGTTTTGCACACATAGCTGTGCTACAGGCTCTGGAGCTGCTCTTGGTCCCCGCATATATGGAATGGCATGGATGGTGGGGTTGTTGAGAGAGGCCACAGTTTGGGTTAAAGGTAGCATACGCCAGGGCAGCTGCAAAATCTGCCCTGCCAAGGACGCAGTGCTTCCAAAGCCTGCTCTGTGCCATTAAATGGTTCATTGACCAGCTAAATGGACTCATTATGATGAGTAACTAAAAGAATAGCACCCAAATCCATGAACCCCGTCTCTGCGGAGCTCTGGGTTCCGCTGCTTTTGGGGTTTCACAGGCTTTTGCTAAATGACAGCTGCCTGAGACTCCTTTCAAGGGAATGCAAATGACACACTGACCAGCTAATTAGACCACATCAACAGTGCTTTATTGACAGTTGCAGTGCTCGAGATATCCATGGGAAACCTTTTTTTTCCGGGTTCGGTACTATCTATACTGGTGTAATCCTGAGATCTCTTTTCAGAGGAGTCTTGTGTGAATGCTATATAAGCAAATGAAAGCTGATCATAGGCGAAAGAGACATTCAAATACAGAAACACTTTAAACTAACTAGGCCTATATGTTTTCACGTATTTACAGTTATAATAGTAGTGATTATAATACTGATTTTTTTTTGCAGTTGATTGTACAGTGTAACAAAAGCTAGTGGCTAATCACAATTGCCAGTGTGTCACGGCCAGCTTGTTTGTGACCGTAACATAAAATAGGAACACTTGCACAGATGGTTTGACTTGCAAGTTTCTTTATTGAAGTGTCAAAGGAAATACTACAATACAAAAAGAATACAACAATGTCTCGGGTTTAAATAAAAGGGGAAAAATAATAATCCAAATGGTGAGGAAATATTGATATAGCAAAACGGTTCGAGCTAATGACTTCTCCTGAGGACTGCCGATCCCCGGGGAGAAGTGCCATTGATTGGATCAGTCCCATCTTTTATCCCCTCCACAATCAGAGGAGATTATTCAACAGAGGTGTACAATCATCCCACCACCAGCAGGCGAGAAAAGGAAGCGCAGGGTCGTAACAAGTGCAAACCTGTAAAAGTTCAATGGGAAGTTAATTTCAAACAGTGTTGGTACCCTTGCACTGCTTGATATGAATTTGTGAAGTGCATTGAACATGAGTCAACAAGTCAGCTATTAAAGATAAAAAAAGTACTAATGAAAAGCAACACAAACATAATTTGTAATGGTAATTAGTGGAGTGTTGGTGTTAGAAGACTTTTCCAAATTCAAGAATAAAAAAATAACTGTTGAATTTGCTATTGTAATGGTCATTCCATTGTGAAATATTTGTACATTTTAGCATACTTTTCAAAAGAGTACTTGTGGAAATAATATACTTTAAAAGCAAATACTTTGGTGCAAACTGAATGTAATGTTTTTGGACACTTAACTGCATTTTAATTTCAATTAAATTAGAATGTATTATTGTTTAAATGTATATAAATACAATATAATAGCTGAACTTTAGAGTGCTTATTTTGACCCACTTAAGTAAGACGCGATCTTTGTCATTTCATAATCTCTTCATAATTTGTCTTTGAATTATATAAACTATAGGACTTCTTTAAATGTAATTTCTACTGAAATTGTACCGTGCAAGTACACTTACCCCCGGTTTCACAGACCAGGTTTAAGCTTGTCCCAGACTAAAATGAATGTTTGAGCTGTTTTAACTGAAAGCAACTTGCACTGGCAGTAATGTTTTTTCTTTTCTTTCTAAGGCATGTTTACAAAAGCTACGCAATTGTCCTAATTGAACTAAGGCCTTCTAGTCCGATTTTACTCTGCTATTGTGGAAAAGATTCTGACATTGTCTATCAGTGTGTGGTAAGGCATTGCTGACTTCCTAACAACAACAACAAAAAGAAAGAAAGCATCCTCACTAAAACCTCAAAGGTCACAAGTACAGATCTCCCCTCAGCTGAATCCATGAACTCCCAACACACCGCCACACATACTAAAAAGACCCATCTGACCCAGAACATAACTTTCAGCTGCTCCCCTCAGGCAGATGCCCGAGACTACCAACAGGCGACACATTCTGGTTTAAAACAGCTTCAGTCTAACAACTGTCAGACTGCCCAGTAAACATTCATAGAGTAACTCTATTAATCCTCAGGTAGACGCTATGTTCCTTGTTTACTTTGCACATCAGAAGTGTCGTAGCCTATTCCATTGAATGAAATCACATGTATCTCTTAATCAGATTATATATTGATTTTTTTTCTTACAGTGTTTTAAGTTTAAAGTCACCATGAAATCAAAATGGACAATTTATATATTTTATGGAATATTGCAGTATATATATATTTTTTTATAAATAATTTATCCGTTTACATCATTATGATTTTTAAATTCATGTGCACTCGTAATCTTTAATCAAAATAACTTCCCCTCCCTCTCGCAGTGACATCTCTTCTCTTCTCTTCTCTGATGATGTGTTTACTGCCGTGAGGGCGGGGCGACCTGTAACTCACATGACATCACAGCAATAGAAAACCACAACCAATCAATTCCTAATGGACAAAATCAAGTCCTGCCCTACATTTATTTTGGTTCGAGCAGCCGTTTCACTTTGATGTACGTCAGGCTAGGGAAGAAAAGACTATAACAATTTCCGTTTCATGCCAACTTTCATCGAATATTTAAATTAAATTTTAATTCATTTTACCGAAAATCATTTTGAATAGTTTTCATTTTAGTTAACAATAGCAACACTGAGTAATCCATTCTTGCACATTAGCAGACTGTCTCTTGTAGGTTTTAAAGCTGTACCTAAATTGTACTTGTACTCAGGCTTCTCATACTTTCTCGTATGTTTAAAAGTCATCTTCCTGTAGACTGTTTTTCCATTTCCACAATTAATTGTCTTTATGTTGGATATGCCGAACATTCATTAGCACTCTGGATGTGCACGGAGCTCACAGAAAAAGACGTACTGAATTAATGGAGTGTTAATAATCGCTAACTCATTAGTGTCATCTTATTTGCATAGCATATCATTGCATCTTTTGAGCAGTGAATATTAATTTCTAAAGGCATGAAGTATTGCATGATATAAATAGAGGAATTATCCATGGGTAAAACACTCATCACGAAAAAAGTAAAAGCGCTGAAAAGAGCTGCTATTAATATTATTTGTCTCATGTTCTTCTTTTTAGGCAAGTCATGAGAAGTAGCGCTAATAGGATTTCCATGGCTGCTTGATTATTATTATTATTCATTTTTTTTGACAGTTGAAAAAGATTAGTAAATGGCTTTACACAATGAAAGTCCATCTCACATTTTGCGCTTTTGTTTTGATGTCTAAGGCAAAGTCATTGCTCCTATACATTCTAATGCACAAAGTGACGTCTTTTCTGTCTCCTTTTTTTCCCACAGGGACTGGCCAGCTACCAGTGGTGGATCTCAGACATGCATGCGATCACTAGACAGTTTAACCGGGGTAAGTCAATTTTGGAATGGCTCCATGACCTGAATAGTGGCACTGCGAGAGCCTGCTCTAAAGCCCCAGTGTCCTCCTCTCTGTTTGGATATGCCCCTTTTTAAATCAGCACTGTGAGCTTAAAGACTTTACATTCAGTTATTCCTCCGATGTCTAGAGGCTCTCAGACGCTGAGTGAATGTATACTCACATTTGAAGAGTGATAACAGATGATTTTAGTTTGTTTCTCCTTGTTAGTTTGTTTTTCCTTCATTTCTAGTTTTGTCAGTTGATACAATGTTATCAAATTTGTTGCATGATGTACTGAGTAAATAATCTTGTTAATTGCATATATCAGTGTTTGCCTTAACAATTTCAAGAGACTATCATTCGAAGACATTACATTATTGTGGCAGATGAGTACTGCATGGAATAGAAATGATAAAAAAGTGGCTTTTGGAGTCAATCTGTTGATCTTTTATTACATTTTCACTGCCCATGCTAACAAAAATGTTCTATAAGAACGGTTTGCTAACATTCCCATTAAGTAAAAAAACAACGTTATTTCTAAATGTTCTCATTTAAAAACTGTTACAAATATTTCATTTTTAACATGTTTTAAAAACATATTTACTTTTAGCATTTTGCACATTTAGTCCATTTTAGCATTTTGCCGACATTATGGGAACATTAATTTAAATCTTCTCTGAACAAGTAACATAAAAAAAAATGTTTGCAAGGTAAAAGGTAAAAATGCTGCATTAGCAATGTATAAATAATGTTTTTTAACTAATATTATTAAAGACCAGTTAATATTGAAAAAATGTTTAATTATCATTACTGGAAGAGCATTTTTTTCATAACTTTGAGAGAACCTTGTCACAACATTAACTAAAGTTCTGAAAACATCCCCTGTTAGCTGGGTCTATCAGACCCCTAAAGTCCACAGAAAATAAATTTGGCAAGTTTGTTGTTTATTCCAAGACTAGGGGTTGTTGCAACCTGATCTCACGGCAATTCGTACGGATTTTACGAGGTGGCTAATTCGTACTAATTCATACGACCTCACTCGTACAAATTCGTACGATTTTTGCTAATTCGTACATATTTTACGAGTTACCAAATGCGTATGAATTCGTACGAATTCACTCGTACGAATTCATACGCATTTGGTAATGAATTCGTACGAATGACCTACCCCTGACCATTCATACATGGCCACTGTTTTTTAGTGTAATGGACCACTGACTCTATAAGACGCTGTTTCAAGATACATTTCAGTTCAGCTTTGAAACCTTTGGAAAATTCATAATTACAAAATGTCAAATGATTCAAAAAGAAAATTATGTAAACACACCTGAATATAATGTGTCATTATGTTTAAAAATTCATTATTTTCCAAAAGATGAAGGCTTGATCATTGGACCTTTCAGTGCCTGAAAAAAAGATGAATATCATAATATGGTATTTCAAAGCCACATAGAGGATGCTGAAACTCAGATCTATTTTCATTCATGTTTTGAATCATCTTTGTCAGTTAGACTTTAATTATCATCACAGTCTGGATCTACAGCTGACAGCCTCTGCCCTCTTCTAGAGATCGATGGCATGGATGTCTACAGAAACCGTTATGACAACTTAATTTTAGTAAGAACGGGCCAATCCTTTGATGTGTTCTTATAAATCACATTAAGTGGCAAATATGAAAGATCTTTAATATTTGATCACAGTGAATAGCCCAGGCAGTTTAATTTGCTTAGTTCTTATGGATATTTCTCTATACACCATGCACTTGCACCGTTCCACCTCTGAGGCTATTCACTGACAGCATAGCAACCACGTGTGTTGACTTCTTGCACGAATTTGTCGGTTTAGTCTTGGTGCATTCATTCTAGTTCACACTGGCTGACGCAACCCTGACTGTCAGTGGGGCAATGCCAAAGAGATTAGATGCTGCTTTACACTGCTTGTCTTCACAGGGGAGAGAACTGAGCTTAGACAATCCTCCTAATATGCACCAATTCATTAACATCCATGCATTCTCTTTACTGATTATCCATAGGGTGACGGGACAATTCATTAACACGAAACCCTATGAATGAGAACAATATAAATACTTGAAAGAAAATGTTCAGGTTCAGTACAAGTTTAAATTAATCTACAGCATTCATTCGACAGGAGTCGGAATTGTGTTTGTTGTGTCAAATGCTGTTGCTAGAGAGTAGTATGTAGTTTCTGCAACACTAGTGGAACTAGTGGAATTACAAAAATACAGCAAACGCCCCTTTCGTGCGTTGCGCCTCCCCCAACTCAAACATCACAAACACAGCTCTTACAGGTGCTTCTGAAGGCCTGTCTCAACAGGCAAAATTAGCTAGGCCTACTTTCAATACAACATTTAAAATATTAGGAATATTTGGTAACACTTTAGAATACTGTTCGGTCATTACTGAATAAGGAACAAATGAGTAACGCCTTATTAACACTCCAGTAACTTCTATTAACCCCTTAAGTGTCACCCCCCTTTTTTTGAGTATACATGAAAATGCACATTTCGAACTTAAATGGTTGTAATTCAAGAATGCTTTGGAATATAGACGTAAGATTGGTCTTGTTTTAAAGAAGACATTTAGCAGATTTTTGTAGAAGTGAAATAAATTGAGAAAAAAAGCCAAAAATCTGAACAAGTTGTGTTTCAAATTTTAGGTTGATATCTAAAAAAATGAGCTTTCAGTAAGATTTTGTTTGGGCGCAGTACCAAACGTTTTCACTAGATGACAACCAGACTCCATTACTGCCCATATAAGGGCGCCTCCATTTCCATATGTGTTTTGAGTGATCTGAACCATTATTTCCAAAATTTTCATACAATTTATGAAGTAGACATCCTATTCAGAAGTAATATGAGAAGTTTGGCAGATTTTGATATGAATTGAACCTCTAAGAAACACATAAAAAGAACAAGTATGTGCGTTATAGCTTCCTGCAACAAATGGTGAATCTATCATTTTTTTCTTTAAATAAAAAAAAAAATCAGACCTTTTTTTTCTAAAATAATTGAATGGATGCTATCTTTTGAACTCTTGGCATGAAAACAAACTGAGGTTTCTACCCTTTTTTCATGATTTTTCATGTTCATCACTATTTCAAAATAAAGGTCTAAACACGCCTTAGGAGTATGAAAATATTCTTGTTGCAAATTGATAAATTACGGCTCCTCTGTAATTTATTTTGAAAATCAATCACCAAATATGGAAACTAGAGATTGTACGCTTTCAAATGATATATAGTTTGTCAAGTTTAGTTTTGTCACGATGCGTGTGGAAATAATTCCGTGGATTCAGGTGCAGAGCGAGAAAGTGTTTAATAAAGACAAAACATAAAAACAAACAAACCAAAAACTACATCCAACAAAGCAGGCAAGGCAAGGCAAGGCAAGGCAAGGCAAGGCAAGGCAAGGCAAGGCAAGGCAAGGCAAGGCAAGGCAAGGCAAGGCAAGGCAAGGCAAGGCAAGGCAAGGCAAGGCAAGGCACAAACACAACGTAACAAATACAACGAACGAGCACAGGACAGCAAACACAGGAAGACTAAATAGGGAGGCAAACAAGGAGGGTAACGAGACAGACAGGTGGAGCAAATAAACCAATAATCAGATAACAAGAGGGAGGGGTCAAACAATGACGAGAGCACATGGCTCAACATAACAAACACCCATGTGCAACACAAGACCGGACAGACATGTGACATAACCCCCTCCCTACGGAGCGGCTACCAGACGCTCCATTAGGCCAAGGCGGGACAGTAAGGAAACATCAGGGCGGGACGGGAGGGACAGACCAAGGGGGGAACGGGAGGGACAGACCAGGGGGGGAACGGGAGGGACAGACCAGGGAAAAACAGAGTTCATCGGGCGGCCAGGGCGAAACAGAGTAATTCGGGCGGCCGGGGCGAAACAAAGTTCATCGGGCAGCCAGGGCGGTGAAGACCCCTCGGGCGGCCAGGGCGGTGAAGACCCCTCGGGCGGCCAGGGCGGTGAGGACCCCTCGGGCGGCCAGGGCGGTGAAGACCCCTCGGGCGGCCGTGGTGGTGTCTCCGGCTCAGGAACAGCGGAGACCGGCTCAGGAACAACGGACACCGGCTCAGGAACAGCGGACACCGGCTCAGGAACAGCGGACACCGGCTCAGGAACAGCGGACACCGGCTCAGGAACAGCGGACACCGGCTCAGGAACAGCGGACACCGGCTCAGGAACAGCGGACACCGGCTCAGGAACAGCGGACACCGGCTCAGGAACAGCGGACACCGGCTCAGGAACAGCGGACACCGGCTCAGGAACAGCGGACACCGGCTCAGGAACAGCGGACACCGGCTCAGGAACAGCGGACACCGGCTCAGGTACAGCGGACACCGGCTCAGGTACAGCGGACACCGGCTCAGGTACAGCGGACACCGGCTCAGGAACAGCGGACACCGGCTCAGGTACAGCGGACACCGGCTCAGGTACAGCCACAAGAACTGAAACTGTTACAAGAACAAACACAAAAACAGAAACAAACACTGGCTCTGGCGCTGGAACAGGCACTGGCTCTGCCTCCGGCTCAGGAACGGGCACTGGCTCTGCTTCTGGCTCTGGAACAGGCATTGGCTCTGCCTCCGGCTCTGGAACAGCAGACACTGGCTCCGGCTCTGGAACAGCAGACACTGGCTCCGGCTCTGGAACAGCAGACACTGGCTCCGGCTCTGGAACAGCAGACACTGGCTCCGGCTCTGGAACAGCAGACACTGGCTCCGGCTCTGGAACAGCAGACACTGGCTCCGGCTCTGGAACAGCAGACACTGGCTCTGACTCGGAAACAGCAGATACAGACATATCCAGGATCCGCGCCAGACGTTCTAAATAGTCCGTAAGTGCCTTGGCGGCCACACAAATGGGCATTTCCGGATCTGTCTCAGACTGGGCTGACTGGACGTGCTCAGTCTCTGACTGGGCAGACAGAGCGTGTACTGTCTCTCGCTGGGCA